CCAGAAGTAGTTTCATTAATTTGTCTTCCAAGGTACTTCTTAGAAGTTGTCAAATTTATTTCAAAAAAGATTTTTGTAATATGCTTTCTGTATCCTTTTAAATTCTGTAAAATCTGTGGTAATGTCTCCTAGATCTTGATATTGTAATTCTAAAACTGTATAATTGATATTGTGTAATAGAAAGAAAAGTTCTAAAGGAGCACGGGAATTGGGAGGGGTAGGGGAAAGGAAAGAAGGGAAAAGAAAAAATATGAGAAAAGGAAAAAGATGGAAATGAAGTCTTTGCAAATAGGGTAGGTGGGGGGTGAAGGGAGGGCAGGGCAAGGGGAAAATAATAACCAAGATATTCATGAAATAGTACAAGATCTCAATGATGAATGTAACTGTATTTTATACCTAAAATGTACCAATAAACTTAATGGAAAAAAATCCACTATGTAAAATTAAATAAATTTTCACATCAGTGACTATGCTGTATTATTCTTAATTGTTCCATTCCCTTCAATCATTCTTTCATTAATTAGGCATTTTTATTAGTTCTGAAGCGAAAACAATGAATAAAGCAAAGTATCTCTCCTTAAACTGTTTTTATTATAGTAGGGAACTTAGATATTAAAAAATAATTGAAGATATATAATATTCATTGTAGATATATACATTTTACTTAGGAAAATAAACAATAATGAGAAAACATAAACTATATAAGAACAGTCTAACAGAATAAGATGGGATGGAGCAGAACAATATTCCTATTATATTTTGGAATTAAAACAATGGATCCTGTGGTGTGTGGTGTGTGTGTGTGTGTGTGTGTGTGTGTGTATGTGTGTATATGTTTCAAGGCAAATTAGAAAATAAAGAGGATTAGATGAGCTAAACCTGAGTGGGAAGGGCTTATTTCACACAAATAAAGGTCTCTCTCCATTTCTTACCTGGTTTATTTTGTCAACTCTGGATACAGGTTGATGGTTAAGGCTTGTGTGAAATGAGAAAAGGAAATCTATGAAGAACTAGAATAACTTTGGGAGACTGTGCCCTGCTTAATAACCACTGAAACTTGTGCAGAATTAGAGTGCTTTTCTGGCGCTTCTATAGTTTCTTAAAAGTAGAGCGAAATTTCCCATGGTCTCAGGAAAAATATCAAAAAGAAAAAGGGATTGCTTCAAATACACAACTGTATTTTAATCAGACATTTGATGTATTTGAAAGTCGCTCAATGAAATTTAAGAGCAGAAGCCAAAATCACAGGAAAACAAATTCATAGTATGGGGGATGAAGAAGAGTTCTACCACAATTCTGATTTTGAACACACACACACACACACACAAAACACAACTGTAGACACAGACACTAAGCGCACAACCTTCTCTCTGAAATTTTGAAACCAGAAGTTGACTGACACAAACTATAAGTGTACTCCAGGCCCAGTTTAATTTAGTTCTTCATTGGATTGAAAGAGAGAAAAGACTCTTGTTGATGGGAATAAATTATATAAACTTTAGTTATTACATTTATTTCCCACAAAATTTTGGCTTTGAATGAAAATTTAAAAACACACAAGAAAGGGAGAAAATTATGACCACAAATACAAAATGAATAGCTAGTAGAAGCAA